CCTTCTTCCACCGCGAGTTGTACCAAAGAGGGGTAGGCCAAAGCAAAAACGCATTCCCAGCATAGGTGAGTTCACACGAAGACAGAATCGATGTGCTAGGTGTGGGCAATATGGACACTATGAGAAGAAATGTAAGAACGCACTGATGTAATCATGACTTATAAATTTTGGTGTTACAATGTATTTACACTTATTATATTCAACGGGTTGTAAAATGTATTCAGCAGGTTATTATGGCTTTGGGGAAGCTTATATTTATGGGGAAATGCTGCCCAAATTTTTACACAACAATATATATATATATTAGAAAACTTCAAACCAGCCCACAGAAGGTTGTCGCGCGCACGCAGGGTGGCACTGGCGACCAGAACCGACTAATATAGCAAGAACAGACCAGAACCGACAAACATAGCAAGAACAGACCAGAACCGACCGAGAACAGACCAAGAACAAACCAAGAAACTCTTGTAAAAAATTAGAAAACATACATTTTTTTCATATTTCTTAGACTTTTTGGGTATTAATAAACATTGTAGTTTATAAAAGAGAAAAAAAAATTGGTTAGAAATGAAAAAACCTAGAACAGACCAAGGTTTTCTCATTTCTAACCAATTTTTTTTTTCTCTTTTATAAACTACAATGTTTATTAATACCCAAAAAGTCTAAGAAATATGAAAAAAATGTATGTTTTCTAATTTTTTACAAGAGTCTGTTCTTGGTCTGTTCTTGGTCTGTTCTAGGTTTTTTTCATTTCTAACCAAATTTTTTTTCTCTTTTATAAACTACAAAGTTTAGTAATACCCAAAAAGTCCAAAAAATATGAAAAAAATGTATGTTTTCTAATTTTTTACAAGAGTTTGTTCTTGGTCTGTTCGAAGTTTTCTCATTTCTAACCAATTTTTTTTTCTCTTTTATAAACTACAATGTTTATTAATACCCAAAAAGTCTACAAAATATGAAAAAAATGTATGTTTTCTAATTTTTTACAAGAGTCTGTTCTTGGTCGGTTCTGGTATGTTCTTGCTATGTTGGTCAGTTCTGGTCTGTTCCTTCTATATTAGTCGGTTCTGGTCGCCAGTGCTACCCCGCGCGCCCGTGCCCCCCTCTCCGGCGCCCGTAAATGTGTAAAAATTTGGGCAGCATTTCCCCATAAATATAAGCTTCCCCAGAGCCAAAATAACCTGTCGAATATGATAAATTATAAATGCATTGCAATGCCAATAATAAACATATTGTAACCCCAATAATGTTGTGTATCTATTTTACAACAACCAAAACAACCGACATTTCATATACTAGGACTCACGGGCCTCTTCAGCTTGTACTCGCTCCAAATTCTGACCGCAAGTTCCAACCGATAAGCTTCTACTTTTTCTTCAGTGAGGCGAATATGATAAATTATAAATGCATTGCAATGCCAATAATAAACATATTGTAACCCCAATAATGTTGTGTATCTATTTTACAACAACCAAAACAACCGACATTTCATATACTAGGACTCACGGGCCTCTTCAGCTTGTACTCGCTCCAAATTCTGACCGCAAGTTCCAACCGATAAGCTTCTACTTTTTCTTCAGTGAGGTCTTCTAACGGGATTCTGCGGACAAGGTATTCGATAAATTTGTATGTGAAAAGTTCGCAGTCACCTGATCTAAGGTTGTGGACCAACCACTTGGGACGAACGATTGGCCACGCACAGTCAAGTTTATCGCCTAGATGGTTGAATAAACCTGTGTACTTCAAGAACTTGGGCATCATGATAGCGATTGGCTCCACTTGTCTTTGCATCTATTGATCTCTGTACATCATAACAGCTGAGTCATACACCTTTATGTTGAATTCAGATAAATCAACATAAAGCGTAACCTAATGCTTCCTCTTAATGTTAAGAGGCATAGTGAAGCCCTGCGCGCCATCCTATTTCTGGCCAATTATACACTTTTCTCCACAGACATATTCATCTAGGTCGTTGTCAAATGTATACGTTGCCAATTTCTTTTTGTTGGTGAAGAATCGCGCTCTCAACTTTTGGTAAAATATATCATCTAGGATGACAATATTGTTATTGAACTGCTCTTCAGGTGTCCTTGACCTTCTAATCGATAGAAGACCCCATGCCTCGTCAATTTGCTATAAGTCATAAAAAATTAATCAGTATAATGATAATGGTATAAAAAATAAGACTATAAATTTAGAAAATATGTTGTGATTACTTACATCATTGAACAGTCATTCACCTGGCTTCAAGATGATCCGGAAGAAGTCCTTCCTCCAATCTCCAAAACCACACTCAATCAGCTCAGAGTCCGTACTAGAATCAGCGAACCACTTGTTGAAGGCATCGATAGCGCGTTAAAGGTCCACATCTTCTTCCTCACGTTACGCAGGGGATCTATGTAAGGCGACTCAATATACTTGCTGGGCCTCTTAAGTCACTTTTCATTCTTCGATTCAGACTCTGGCTCTGAATGAACTTGTTGCTCAAGCTGATCCTCAGGCTCTTGCTGAACCCGAGGCTCAAGTTCTGCCTCAGGCACCTGTGTCTCAAGTTCTGCCTCAGGGTCTGGCTGAACCTGTAGCTCAAGTTCTTGCTCAGGCACTGGCTTTGGCTGTAATTGTTGGTTCGCTAGACATGCTATATTGTCCTTAATTTCTCTAACAGATATGTCTAGCGAGTCTAGCCTCTTGTTGATGATTTCAAAATGTCTACTATTGTACTCTACCATCCTGTGATAGAGTATGCAAACTATGTGATCAATAGACATACCATCTTGCTTGCTCGGTTGTTGTTGTTGTTGTTGTTGTTGCTGCTCAGGTTGTTGTTGCTATTGCTGTTGCTGTTGCTGTTGTTGGGGAAGTTACTGTTGTTGTTAGGGAAGTAGTTGGAGACGAGCCAATTGTTTCGGAGGCTTCGGTTGCTGGACATGGACCATTCTTGCACCAGAGTCCAAAAATGATGTAAGCTGGTCAATCTCAGGATCTTCTTGGTCGGCATAAGCATATACAACCTCATGCACATACTATTTATTTCCTCCTCAGTGGGATAAAGAATTGGTACGGCCATTCCCTGTATATTAAAAGAACATACATTCAATGATTATTTAGGTGGAAACATATTGTAAAAAAAACAAATATGCCTATTTTGTAAAATTTACACCTATAAAAACATTGTATTTAAACCCTTACCTCGCCACTGTGCATGAGGTCGTCTATCTGTCTAACCTCGACCAATGAAACCCGGCGTGCCTCCTATTTGAGGATTCTGGGAAGACGTCCCTTAACCATCTTTCCAAACGTGGCGCCGATGGTTGGAAATGTTTCGAATGTCCAAACCTGCGTTAAACTAATTTTTTTAAGTCTAGTAAACCAATTATGGTATTATTTACTATAAGACCATGAAAAATTATGCATATAACTGTATGACATACCTGGAAGGCCCAAGGAAACCCGCATATTGAGTAGGTTTTCTTGATGCTCTTATTACGTCCTTTCCGAACCCATTTCTGAAATTTCTCTCTCAAGTTCTTCTTCAAAGCCCTCAGAGTGCATTGAAAAGACACCCTGCCCCATGGATAGCTATTGAAGAATTCTAAATCGTCAACGTAAGATAGCCAATCCAGTGGGACGGTATTCTTCTCGTCCCCAGATAATAATACTTGTGCTAAAAAATAAATGATAGCGATCTTTGCTTTATCGCTACCTTTTATCTTCTTCCTTGTGAGTAATTTTTTTAAATCAGCAATAAGTACTACGTGGGACTTAAAATGCTCCAATAATCTTCTATTCTTCGAAGCTTTCAAGATCACGTCCGGCTCTGTATTTTCCCCGCAGTTCAATCCAGTAATTAATGCAAATTCCCCCATTCCAAACTTAGTTGTGGTTCCATTAACCATGAACGACAACTCATGTCTCTTTTTTGTTTCTATCCGCCTCAAAAGCAGATACTGTGTCAACACTCCAAAATAGATCATATTTTCAGACATCGAAATAAAATGTCCGAAGGCAGACTCCTTGAAAATTGGCATTTCCGTTTCGGGGTCTAGATTCTGCCTGATTACCTCCAAAGCCTCGATCTTTGACTTCATAGTCACTTTCACTGGGAAATACTGCCGTATAGGATCCATGATCATCTTTAGATGTCCGATCCCAGGAAGTTCACATGTGTTGTACTTTGGGAGGTCATACTGAAAAAGAAGAAAAAACACATCGGTCAGAACGACCAAAATGACAGAACCGACTAAAATAGACTAAGAAACCAAACAAGAACCGACTGAACTGACCATGACTCGACCGAGCCGACCCAAAAACCCGACAGGAACTGACCAAATAGACAGAACTGACCAAACCCGAACAGAACCGACCAAAACGACCTGAACCGACCAAGAACCGACTCCGAACCGACCACTAACCGACCAAGAACCGACTTCACCTAGAACCGACCAGAACCGACCCTACTCGACAAGAACCGACTAAGAACCGACCACTAGAAACGACTTAAAACCGACCTAGAACCGACTGCGAACAGACCAGAACCAAAACCGACTATGAACAGACCAATGTTGCTTATATTAAGTTTTTGTTCTTGCAAAAATATATAAGAAAAAGTAAAACAAGAATATTACCTCAACAGATTCCATTGCCTCGTCGACAACTGTTCGGGAAATGGCCGTTTTAGTTGAGGAATAAGAGCTGGTTTTTTATGCCATTTTAGTCTAAAAGCCGCCGGTTTTTAGTCAGATTTTGGTGAGCGGGTGGTCGGGAATTTGGTGAGTGGTCGGGGTCGATTTTTGGTCGATTTTAGTGGGAAGGGAGTCAGTTTTTGATGAACGGTCGGTGTTTGGTGAGGTGGTCGGTCGGCCGAGACGAGAGAGATCGGAGAGAATGGATCGGAGAGAGAGAGAGAAACATGTGAGAGGAAAGCCGGCGGTCGGTCGTGAGGTTGGTGACTGATCGGAGAGAAAAGCCGGCGGTCGGTGAGAGATGATCGGAGAGAAAAACTGGTAGTTGGTCGTGAGAGAGCTCAGTCGGGGGACAGAGGGTCGAGCGGTCAGTTTCGGGGGGAAGAGAGGGTCGAGCAGTCGGTTTTGTGAGGAGAGAGTTTTTGAAAATGACCTAAAACTAATAGGACCTATTTTTTGTCACGTAAGATACACGTCATCATTTTTTTGTTATAAAAAAAACTGGTCTATTTCCTCAAATTCTGATTTGCTCCGGTCTCTTTTATCAAATTTTCTCTCTGTTTTGTCTCGGTCTTAGTCTCTCTCGCACTGGGAACTCATCAGCGCCTCAAACGCCGACGACGACTACGACTCTAAAGAGCCCAAGCAAGAAAAATGACACCAAAAAGATCGCCAAGATGAAGATAATGGGTTTGGATCCTCCCCTGTAAACGACCAAATTGCAATCGAACCCCAAGGCCTTCATTTTCTTGATGATGGCTATGGTGATTTCGATGATGATGATGATGATGATGCGTATGCTTTGAACGACGAGCTTGTTCCGTGGTCGGTGAATGGGAAATTCAGGAGACAGAGAATGAGGAAGTTGGGGAAGAGGGGATTTACGAAGAAGATGTCCAATTCCAAGAGGTCGCCGTATTTCTTTGTGAGGCCTGGGGCTGTTCGCGGCAAGCATGGTCTGGGTTTCAAGCACAGTTTCTGATCGGCTTCACTTCAAGATTTGGTCAGAGTTATTGACACGGTACTTCTTAGAATGTTCATATGATCTGGATTTTTAAATGTGGTGCTGTGATTGGAGCATTGAACTATGTTTAGGTTATTAGATTGGGGGGTTGGTTCGTCTAAGACCAATCTTCTTTAATTGTTTCTTGATATGTCCTTTGGAGTAGAACTATGTAAATAAATTTTTAGAGTTGCAAATATGATGATCTTTGTTTCTTTGCTTTTCTTTTTCTTTTTCTTCTTTTTTCTTTTTTGGAATTTGGGTGTCTCTTTGATTGTTGATATAATCTGTTTTCTTATATTCTTTTTAGATGTGTATGCATTTTGATTGGGTTGTGTGAGACCAATCTTCATTTTACTGCTTGTTTATATCCTTAGAATTTTGTAAGTCTTTACATGGCAGCATATAAAACAATGATCTTCATTTTTTCATTTTTTGTCTTTTACTTGGTTTTGATTGAGTGTGAAGAAGTATAGGAAGAATGGTATGGAGATGGAAAATGGAATAATGAAAGACTAAAATGAAAACGGTTTTGATAGTTTTAAAAAACTGGCGTATAGGAATAGCATACTTGTTCTTCAGTTCGATCATTATGGTAGTGATTATCCGTTATAATTCCTCTGTAATCTAATCTTTGCTTTTGATACTTTAGCTAGGTAGAGAATTCATTTTGGGCTCTCAAAATCTCTACCAAACTAAGCCAATATCTGCAGTTTGTCTCATTTGCTCTTTTACGTCGTTGACATGGCCTCAAGTCTCATACTCCTTGAGGTGGATCTAGATGGTATCGTTTATAAAGACAATCAATTTGAGGATAATGTAGAAGAAAATCAAAATACTAGTTTTTTATTATCACAAGAAATGGATGAAGTATGAGATCAAATTGCAATAAGTTGTTTACTCACTAATGCTCCTTTTAATTGTAACTATATTGTGAATGAAGAAATGAAAAAAAAAATTATTATAAAGTTATTGTTAAAAAACTCAAAATCATAGCATTATGTTTTTTTTAAGTTAAACAAGTATTTTTAAATATAAAAAATAATTATATATATTTAAGTTTTATACTATGTCTATTTTAGTCATTTTACATATCCACAGCAATTCAACATCAAAATTTACCAAACGCTATTATACTGATTTTGGAACCAGCACAGCTATTATAATTACAGTTTACTAAACACTCAGTTACTTCTTGTGACAGCTACTTCTTCCTTCAGCACAATTAAAAGTAATTTTTCTAAAATCTATAACACTACCCAACTAAGCCATTCAAGAAACTTAGCATCTTACTATATGTGTCAAAATGCTGCAAACTATTCAATCCAGGTGCACTGACATAGTATATACCCCATGTCGCATAACCTAACTCCTTGACAACAATAGCATAACATCCAAAAGTGATAACTCATCAAGATCCAAAAGCACAGCATGATTTATCCCCCCATTATAGTGAACTTTTCCATCTATCATTACAATTTCACCACCATGCCACAACTTCAACGTAAATATTGCATCTCACAAAAAATAATAATAATTTTTTATTAATGTCTTCTTGAAAAAAAGAGCAAAACAAAGCGTTTGAACCTTTTCCTCGTAAATTGCTACGCTTTTGAACATTTTCTTAAAAAATTGCTACCACTACCCCACATGTTGCTGTCATCGAACCCCACCAACACAACAGACACAAAACACAACAGACAAGAAATGGTGGTCCCTATATTCTCTTACAACAATGGACAGATCGAAAAATAATCCAACTTAACAGAATATTCTCACCAATCAGCCATTCAAACGTTTAAGATGAAATTACCAAAAGCCATATACAAATTGCCCAAAACAATAACAAAATTGTTACCAAATTCCATAGTTAGGGTTCATAAAATCTTACCATCAGCCATTGACAATTCCACTTATTCGGATCAACTCAAACCCTTCCTTCTTCGGTGATTTCTTCACTGATTAGTTTGAAGAAATTCAAGGCCTTCAATTCGAAGTGGAAAATCGAGAACGATGAGATGGTTTTTGAGAAATTAAGATTGGGTTCGAGAACGATGAGAAATGCTAAAATAACTCTGGATTTTTTTGCCCTAATTGGCCTTATTTTTTTCCCCCCTAAATTACTTTTTTCCCTGGGATTGAGTGTCATGTGCCAGAAACGTGACACTTACCATTCAATATTTAACAGAGAGGGCAAATAAGGGGGAAGCATGCTAACGGCGATTTGTTTAGGGGAAATTATATTTTTAAAGTTTTGGAGGCATTTTTGTAACACGCCAATAGTTCAGGGGGCATAAGTGTAATTTGCCTAAGATAATATGCACCAAAGTTTTGAAAATTTTTTCTACAGAAGATTTTTTTACAGACACGATTTGCAAGTAATTGATGTACAGTTTTCTTTAGTCTGTATATTCCAAATCCAAATCTCTAAAATCATCATAGATTACAAATAAATTACATATATAAATTACATATGGTGATACAAAACCACGGGATCAAGAACTGAAATTCCAAGAATAAACAAATCGGAATTACAAAACAGATAGTTAAGATTTATTTTACAGCAATCCTCATGACCAAATCTTGTTTAGAATATAAGGATCCATTTAGAATGTATAATTAAATCATGATTATTGATTCTGAGGTTTAAAATTCAAATCTTTTATGAGAGAAAAATAATGTAGTATAATCAATGATTTGAGTTTGAGTATATGAAATAAACATACCCTAAATCTCTACAAAATCTATCTGCTTGGAGAGGAAGAAAATCATAGTTATTGTAATTCCCAATGGAAGACAAGATGTCGATAGCGAAGAGGCAAAGGGGGCCAAGATGACGGCGGTGATGGCGTAGGGAGGCGGGGCTTAGCGCTGCCAGCTTTACTGGTAGGTTGGGCGAAGGTTAATAGGTATGATTTATTTAGGTAAAATAATTTTATAAAATAAAATTCCACGCCCCACCAATCCGTCGTTTCTCTGCCATCAACACCGGTGCAGATCGACTCATCATCGGCCCCGCATCAAAACACATGCCTTGCCTTCATAAACTCTATCGAAACTACGTCTGCAAGAGAGGGGAACTCCGTCTGTGGTGATGCCGAGGAGGGAAGAGGGAGATCGTGGGAAACCTCATCGACAAAGGGCGATATCTGTTGTTAGGAGGTGAGGCCCGTCGTCGGCCGAGGCGAAGTCCATCGTTGCGAACATAGGTAGAGCTTCATTGGTAAAGTGATTTGGAGGCTGTGGAAGCTCCTCAAGCTCCGTATCAATTTAAGATTTAGGCCTCGTTCATTTCATCGATTCGAGTTTAGAATTAGAGTTTTGCTACAATAAAAAGCTTTTAAAAACAGTCACATCTATCTTTTTTACTACAGTAAAAAGCTCTCACATAAAATCACATCTCAACTTGAATTAAAAACTTGAATTAGCAAACTAAACGGGCTCTTAATTTGGACATGTTTTGAAGTCAAAGGTTGAGATTAAAAGTCTAATTAGATTAATGGTTGATTTTCTTTTAATGGAAGGTAATTCAATGTCGAAGGACTTATTATAAGTCAATGTTCCCTTATATTTTGTGGCCGTCACGATCTAATGGTTGTGAATAAAATACTCCACCGTGGGTGATTTGGCTCACCTTACACCAGTGTTGAATTTTCGGGCGGCGGGCATGCCGGATACCCAAAAATTTTCAGGCACGGCGGGCAGGCGCCATTCGCTGCCCGTCCGACCTTTTTGGCCGGGCACGGGCTCGAGCAGCCTGAAAAAAATCCATTATGGCAGCCCGCCGCCGGTGGAGAAGTCGACCTCGCCGCTTGCCGGATTTTTTTTTGAATTTTCCTGCGTACCCTGAATTTGCCTGAATTTTGCATGAATATTTATGACCGTTAGCCCGAATTTTGGCCATTGCTCGAATATAGCCGAATTTTTTTGACCGTTAGCCTGAATATCTGCCCGAATTTTGAACCCAACGGCTATTTTTGCCCGACCCGACCGCCACCTGAATTTTCAAACCCCAATGGCTATTTTTAAGACCGTTGCCCGAATTTGCCCGAACCTGACCCGAAAGCCCAAATTTCACATAGCCGTTGGAACCAAATTTTTGGGGGAAAATTTTTTTTTTTTCAAGCAAAAATATTTCCTATAAATACCCCCCCCCCCTCCCCCAACCATTTTCCTCACCTAAAAACTCTCATTCTCTCTTAATTTCTCTCAATCTCTCTCAAATCTCTCTTAGGTGTTGTTTGGTTGGGGGATTCGTATCCCGATTCGAATCTTGGTTCGTGGTTCGCTACAGTATTTTCTCTCACAAAAATACACGTAAATAAAAAATGGTTCTAATCTCATGATTCTAATCCATGAACCAAACGTCTCCTTAATGTCTCTTAATCTCTCTTAATCTCTCTCTTAATCTCGCTTAAATCTCTCTCGATTTCTCTTAATCTCTCTCAAAGCGCTCTCAATCTCTCTTATTTTTCATAATGGCTTCTTCTGGTTATAGTGGTGATATTCCCATTGATGCCCAATTCAACATCGAAGAAGGGTAATTTTTTAATGTTTTTCAAACGCAAGGAATCGCAAACTACAGAAAGAGTTGCTGAGAAAACTGTAAATATGAGCCCTAGTGGACGTACTAGAGGTCATGGACGTAATGGTGGTGGCACTGGTGGGCGTGGAGGAAAGGCAAGCGGTAGTGCTAGTGCAAGTGTTGCAAGTTCTAAGAAGGAATGCAAGCGCACCTCAGCAGTTTGAGAGCACTTCAACACATTCGAGGAGGTCGACAATAACGGTAACATTAGATACATAGCTCAATGCAAATATTGTGGTGATAAATTACAAGGTAACACTATTCACGGCACTACACACTTGAGAAGACACTCTGACAAGTATTTTCAAAAGCAAGGAGGCGGACCCGATCTCTGCCAAACACAATTATCATTTGACTGCCAAACCGGTGGTCTAACCACTTGGAAATACGATCCGTAAGTCGATTATATGGAAATGACACGCTTAGTAGCCACATTAGATCAACCACTTAGTTTTACTGAACAAAGGAATTGGCAGCGTCATATTAAAATTGTACATAATCCTAATGTATAATTTTTTTCAAGAAAAGATGCATTAAAATTATATAAACAAGAAAAGGAAGCATTAATCAACATTTTTCACTCTACTAGTGATTGCGTTGCGTTAACGGTGGATATTTGATCTGCCGTTGCCAACAAAGATTATTTAGCTGTAACCAGACATTATTATAAAGGTTTTGATTTGGATAAGAGAATATTAGGTTTTAAATGTATTATAGGATCACATACTGCCAATTTAATATATAATACAATTTTATGTCATTGATGAATATAGTTTAAGAGATAAGAATAATGATCATAACATTAGATAATGCAACTGCAAATACTAAAGCAATAGAACTTTTTGAAAATGATTTAAGTTTATTCGGTAATAATGATATATTTCACCATCGTTGTGCATGTCATATAATTAATTTAATAGTAAAATCTGATTTAAAATCAATGTCAGATCATATTAAAAGAATTAGAGATAACATTGCTTGGATTCAAGATAATAATAAAAAAATACAAGATTGGTTTGGATTTCTACAAGCATGTAATCAAAATCCTAGAGCATTAGCCTTAGATATGCCCATAAGATGGAACTCCACTTATATAATGCTTAAACAATGCATCCTCTATAAAGATGCTATAACAAATTATGTTAGTACAAAATTAGGAGCATGATTTATAGATGAAATTGATTGGCAAATTGCCAAACTCTTGTTTAACTTTTTAAGTAAATTTCACGAAGTTACTTTAAAGCTTAGTGGAACTTATTACCTAACGTCACCATTAGCGTTAAGAGAACTTTTAAGAATATATATTTTATTTAGTGAATTTAGGACACACGAGGTTTTAGGAGTTCCTATCGCCTCTATGAAAAAGAAGTTTAAAAAATATTAGTCTAAATTACTAATGTTGTATGGTTTCGGTGTTATTTTTTACCCTAGATTAAAATTAGATGGTTTAAAAAGTGGATTAGGTAACTTATGTGACTTTTTAGCTATCGACACTACTGACAAATTTCCTATTATAAAGGAAAAAATATTTTCTTTCTATAGCTCTTATGAAAGTAGGTTTAGAAACACACCTCGTGTAGAAGAACCGCAACAACAAGACGATAATCCGTATTCATTCTTGAATGTTTTCGGGTTGTCTAAGAAGAAGAAGAAGACGACGGTGATGTCTCAAGGTCAAGAAGAATCTGGGAGTGGATCTTCATCAAGAGGTGGCGGCAACAGCGGCGGCTTCAACGAGTTAATGGCGTACCTAAGTGAGGGCTTAGTTGTAGACAATAGTGAAATGTTTGATTTGGTTCAGTGGTGGAGGGCACGAGCATTAACTTGGCCGATCCTAACACGATTGACAATGGATATTTTTTCGATCCCATTCTTCATTGTTGCAGCCGAACAAACATTCAGTACAACCAGCCGAATACTTGAAGAATGGAAAAACGCATTGCAACAAGATATTGTTGAAGTTTTGGTGTGCATTAAGGATTGGGATCGTTCCGACCAACGCTTACACGATACAATGTCATCGGCAAACTAAGAATGGATCGACGAATTTAATAGATTAACTTTTAATTTTCAAGACGATCATTCTGCTTCAAATTAAATTTTATTATTGTAATTTGTAAATATTTATTTACTTTGTATAGTGTTATTGTAATCTTGTATAGACTTTGTAAGTTCATCAAATTTGTAATTCGTCCCACAATGATTGCACTCTTTTTTCCTTACCAAGTTTTTATCCCAATTTAATTTTTCTTGGTAAGGTTTTTAACGAGACAATCATGAATTATAAATTTAAAAATCAATAAAGAAATAAATTTTTTTATATAATTCATGTGTTCATTTCAAATTTCAAATTGTAATATATATATATATATATCTATAATAATATATATAATATAATAATATTTAAAAATTTGGACATTTTCGGTTGGGTAACGGGCAGCCCGATTAGGCACGGGCAGCCAAAGACTGCCCGATGCCTGTCCAAGGAGAAAATCGGGTCGGGTCGGGCAGCTTGAAAATTCGCACAGCTCAAGCTCAGTTATCAGGTAAAAATTTAAACTTTTCGGTGGTTGCGGGCGCCTCGTCTTTTCAGCACTACCTTACACTACATAGAGCTTTTCACTTTCCCTAATAAATACAAAAAACGGCTAAAAAAAAAAAAAGCCAGCACAAGCACAACCGACCCTACACTACGATCAACCGGTCTCACTTTCTCCTCCTCCAAACACACCGCTAGAGAGAGGGGGATTTATTAGGGCAAACAGCGAACTCAGATTGACCTAGAAAAAAAACAAAAAACCAGACGAATTCGACGTTCTGAGATTGAATCTTTGTTGGTCAGGTTGGTCTGACTTCGTTAACTCTATCCCCCTAATTTCGCTTTCATAATCCGTTTTCACTGCTATTTTTCGTCTTTATTGAGACTGGGGATTTGGAAAGATTGGTTTTTGTTGTTCAATTTGTGTCTGATTCACATGCTTAGAGGTTATAGAGTTTTGAAGCTTGATTTTTCCTCACTATGAGATGCTGATAAATCTCAGTTCGTGTATTTTCTTTTTTCATTATGATTTGTTGTGGTTGGGATTTATTTTATCTTATCTCCCTGCAAATTATGCTTACATGTTCTGTTTTGTTAATTAGTGTTGATCGAGTTAGATATGAGGTGGTTTTTTATTGGGATTTTGTATATAATTCATTGATTTATAGTTAATATTATTATTATTTTTATTTTTTATTTTTGCTGAAAAACAATCTAATAGGTTACCTCTTGGGTAATAATTCTCCTTGCTTGAATGAAATTTTCTTTTGCTAGCTTGGATTTATAAGATTCAATGAAAAGATTGGGTTTTTTTTTCCCCAGGGGCCAATTTCTGATCCTTGGTTTTAACAAATCAGATTTTTAAGTGGATGAAATCTAGAAAGGAAGAGAGCAATGCTACCTTACATAGCATTTATGAGTGTTTATAATTATTTAAGAAAGTGTTTGCTTTTCCTTTTTTTTTTTTTTTTTTTTTGGATTCTCCATTTTCGGTTTGGTTTCCGACTTTATTTTATTATTATTATTTTCTTTTGGCAAATCCAGTTATGATGTTTTATTAGTTTCATGGGAGATATTTCGATTATGAATCTATAAGTTTGAAGATCCTGTAAACTATGTGATTTTCTTTTGCTGCTCGATAAGTAAGGTAGTATTAAATTGGTTTCATAGGAGATTCTAGTTTGAAGTGTTGTTGTTGAGACTAGTTGCAAATCATGTCATGTTCATTGTTCATCTTGGTTTTTGTGGGTGCCTACCAAGTGTAAAATCTAGGTATTGAAAGTGTTTAATTTCAATGTCCTAGTTAATATGCTTAAGACCTCTTGGTCTAATGGTACTAGGGGTTTCGGATGGGATGGGGTTTGGGAGAAGTTGCGGGTTCGATCCATGTTGTATTAAAAAAAAATATCCTAGTTAATTCACCTTTTTTTTCCCCTTCTTTGAATTACAAGCATTCTTTGACACTGTTGCATATATTAAATGAGATACAGATCAGACATTAAACATCATTTCATTGTCTAAATGGCTTGAAAGCTTGCTTGTCAAACAGTGATTTCCTGTAAACAGCCTAAGCACACTTGGCTCTTTGCCAATGGACAAAGGAGTACCATCTAGCCTCTTTGTTAATGATGGTTCATTCATGGAAAGGTTCAAACAGCTACAACAGGAGAAGGAGAAGGATAATGACAAGAAGAGCTCTGCTGCGGGGGAGCCTAGACCAGTAAAAATTTTATCAGCAACTTTGGCCCCTAACCCTACCATAAATAAAACCAGTGTGGATCTTAAGGCTAATGATACTCGCAAGACTACACATGCTGTTTCAACCGGAAAACTTGCTTTCAGCTTGAAACAGAAGTCAAAGCTTGCAGCTCCGCCAGTTAAGTTAGGTGCGGATGAGGATGAAGATGAAGAAGAGACAGGTGATGGAAATGTTTCAGGTGATGCAGCAGCAAAAAGACAAAAGCTAGGTCAGCCAGATGACCATGAGCAAGCATCACGACAATTGGATGGTGGTAATTACTACTTTCTTTATATCCTTTTACCTCATGGATTCATCCCCAGATTTCAATTTCAATTCTCTTTGTTCTTTCAGTCGGGTCACTTTAATTTTATAATTGTTCTGTTATGTCTCCTAGTCTCACGCACATTTGAGTTTTCATGATGCCCCGAGTCTGCACAAGTCTAATAGAGTCTTCTATAATAGAGAGATATGTCTATGGTGTTTTTCCACATCCAACTATATGGCGGCATTTCTCATATAAAAAAACAAGAAAACAAAACAAAACAAATCCATTTGAGGCAATTTTATTAGTAACTGCCAAAGTCACCTTGGGAAGTAATGGTACTTGCACAGTGTGCTTGGAAGGGATTTCTTTTATTTCTATTCTGTTGTCACTTCTTAACTCTTCTGCTTGTTATGTCATGCAATTTATTGTCACCAATCATGTGGTTCTGATCTTCTTCAGCATTCCCCTTGTTAAGTACTGTGTGTTCGTATTAATCTATTTATTTATATATTTAAAAAAATTAAGAATTGTACCCTTTATAAAGTAGGCGGTAGACAGTTTTTAAGAAACTCTCATAGGTCTCTACTCTTAAAGTGGTCCGCATGAAGAGGGTAAGACGTTCTTGAATATTTCTTGTCTCATGAATGCAGCTTATACCTTATTTCCTATCAACATGGTGGAAAGAGATGTTCATGAAAGAATTGGAATATGTGGCACGGCTACTACAAGAGTAGTTTGCATTACGTTGTTCATGCTCTTGGTATTAATCAGTTTTATGAGTGATATGCAGCACCATCATCCCCAAGTGATCCTACAGTCAAGAAAGTTGCTGACAAATTAGCAAGTTTTGTGGCTAAAAATGGAAGGCAATTCGAGGATGTTACTCGTCAAAAGAATCCTGGAGACACCCCTTTCCAGTAGGTCTTACTTTAACATATACAACTTCTAGGCGTTTACATCTTGGCTTGTCTTTTTTTGTTGTACTGTCTGATGTCTCTAATGCGTACATTGCTATTTTTTGACATCTTGATTTGTTATCAAGTTCCATGGAGTCATTTTGCATGCTTATATGGATTTTGTATTATTTTTCTTTATTATTTACTGGAGTTTCTTCGTCATTCAGGAAAATTCTTATGCTATGTTTGTGGCTTGTTATGTTATTCCTAGGTTTCTATTTGATAAGAGTTCCGCAGATTACAAGTACTATGAATACCGGCTTGCTGAAGAAGAAAAGGCCCTTTCACAAAACAGGGAATCGCAAACATCTAGAAGTGGTTGGTCAGAATCCCAAACATCTCGAAGTGGTTGGTCCTTGAAACTTAATGTTCTCTCTCTGCCGTGGAATAAATTTATTTTAGCCTTTAAGGCGGTTCGGATACATGTAAAGCATTAGTATTTTACTTGTTGCTTGAAGTTAGTAGATTTTAGTTGGGAATACAGATACAACACTTGCTACTGCTACTATGGTTGGCTTTACTTCGTGGCACACGTAGTTGAAATACATTTAGATGAAGCATGGATAAAGGATAACTTATAGAAAATTGATGACTGGAACTTCCATGAGGTGTCCTTTTAGATTAACCCACAATATGCAACATCATTAGTTATTTTATAGAACATTTCCACTACTTTTTTAATGATTATCTCTTCAGTGCAGTATATTTATGTTACCGCACATCATATACTTCATATTTTGTTAGCTAAAGTTATGGTTTTGTGACGCTTAGATCATATGTCAGTTGCTACAAAATGGATAAGTTTCATCTGATGTGTATATTTTTCTTTGAGCGCATAGCATTTCTGAGTTGTCTAGACGGTGAATTCTCTGCAAACTCTGCCTTGAGGGTTTATATACACATTATGTTTTGTCTGGCTCCTCTAAACATGCGATGTAATCTTAATAGTTGTAGTTATACCCTGGTTTCTTCGTTTGCACATGCTAATGTTTCTTTATTGACAGATAACGTTCTTTCTAACTAAAAATATGAGCTATTCTTTATAGGCACAAATGGTATACAGAGATCTTTCCATCAGCAATCAAACTATCAGATTCCTGCCTCCGCTTTATATGAATCCAACGGGAGTTCAAGTACATTACAAACAGGATCAGCAGAAAGAGCTGGTAATCTTACATACCATATTTGCCATTGGTTTACTCTCAGCAGAGAATTATACAGAAAAAAAAAGTGAGAGTAATATGAATAATGACGTGTTTTATCTTTCATTCATGTTCTATCTTACATGCATTTTTTATACATCCAATACGGGTGGTGTTGGCTCATTTTCTATATATGAAAATCTACTGCTTGATTCAATGCTGATTGATCTTGGACTTTCATGAGCATAGGGGAATCTGGTGCACCACCAACTGGTGCGGATCCCATAGCAATGATGGAGTACTACATGAAGAAGGCTGCACATGAAGAAAGGAAGAGACAACCTAAACATTCAAAAGATGAGATGCCCCCACCTCTCTCTCTTCAAGGTTCGCAATAAAATCTTATTAAAATCAATAGTTCTCCTTGTTCTTCGGAACGACATGTGCCGGCATTTCTACTGAACTAATTACTTCTCCCATAGATGCATGACCCTGCTAGTGCATTGTTTTCTGGTATTTAAAGTTTTTTTTCTTGGGTTCAATTACTTTGGCAAAGCAGCATCTGGTAAGAGGGGCCACCACATGGGTGATTACATTCCTCCAGAGGAGCTGGAGAAGTTCATGGCTTCCTGCAATGATGCTTCTGCACAGAAAGCTGCAAAAAAGGCAGCAGAGAAGTCAAAAATCCAGGCTGATAATGTGGGTCATAAACTCTTATCCAAAATGGGTTGGAAAGAAGGTTCTCTCTCTCTCTCTCTCTCTCTCTCTCTCTCTCTCTCTCTCTCCTCATATAAATCTGTTTTGGAAATCGGTTTACACTTCAGCGTTTTTTTTTTTTGAAGAAAATTTACATCTTGTAGAAGTTGTTCCTGATATAAATTCATTTCGGAAATCAGTTTTGGACATTGATTTCCTCCCGAGGATGTATTATAACATTCGGGTGTGTTGCTTACAGGTGAGGGTCTGGGGAGCTCCAAAAGTGGCATTGCAAATCCAATTATGGCAGGCGATGTCAAGACAAACAATTTGGGGGTTGGTGCTAATAATCCTGGTGAGGTGCATCCTGAAGATGACATATATGAGCAGTATAAAAAGCGTATGATGCTCGGTTATCGTCACAGACCCAATCCTCTGGTACTGCAATTCTTCCTTTCTTCATTATGCTTGTTTAATAAGTTCAAAATACAGTTCCGGTTCACTTTTTACCCTTTCTTTTCATAGGTTTGAACCGCAATTCAGACCTTTTTGCCTTTGTAGCGCTTTTTTTCGTCGCTTGTTTCATCATATTTTATTCTTGCAGGGCAACCCACGGAAAGCATATTACTGATATTGCCATGCAAGCCAATATACCTGTTTGGTCAATCTCTATAAGATTATTATCGATGTTTAAGAACGATGAGAACAGAATGTCTTGTGCAAAACAAAACCTAGTTGGAGTTTCCTTGGAATTCGTTATTGTTTGCGATGGTCTATTTTTTATTTTATCTTAATTTGGTTTTGCCTGATGTGTTATTTTGTCATCCTTGAATTATTGTACTCTAGCATACTTTCAGGCAGATCTATAAAATAACAAGGAATCATATGGCAGAATTGTGCAAATCAAATGAGCTATTGAAAAATAAAATAAAATGAAATTTGCTGTGGCAAAGGATTCCGTATTCACGGGTGACGAAAGAAAAGTGACCTAGTGGCTAGTTGAAACATTCCTTGATTATCATGAGAGATTTATTTAGAGATAAAGAGATTTATTTAGAGATAAATGCACGAGTTTTTAGCGCTTACGTTCGTCACTTATTATTATCCATCAAAATTTAATAAGATAATATATATTTGTTGTACGACTCATCAAAATCTAATAAGATAATATAGAGTTGTTGTACGAAGAGCCCAACTGGTCCGCTTGATCCCAACCTAAAATCGACTCGCTTGACCCCAACCAAAAACCGTCGATTTTAGACTGATCAACACCCATAACCACCACCACTAATCTCAAAAAGATTAAAAGCATAATTGAAGTAAGGGTTCTTTTTGCACTAATGCCCCTTTGAGCTAGTATTGGCAAAATGATAAAACTTATTTTACAACTCATGAATTAAATTCTTGGCAAATAGTTCCATAGTGGTCACTTACGTTGTTTCGAGGATGCAATTATCAATTTTGGACTATTTGTCAAGAATTTTGAATTTAAGCAGTTAGCTGTGCAAATCTTAGGGTTCGTTTGGTTAGAAGATTCAAATTATGTAATTTGAATCATTTTCGATATACGTGTATTTTTTATGAGAGAAAATATTATAACGAACTATAAATCATGATTTAAATCAAGGAACGAATCCCTCTACAAACGCCCCTTTAATTTACGTGCTATTTTGTCAATTCGTGACAAGTTTAAGGGATGTTGGTGTAAATTACCATGAAAAAAAAAAAACCAAAATGATGAAGTATTGAACAGTGACTTTCTCACTTTTGTTTAGAGATCTGTATTAGATCTCACCTTTTTCTCATTCTCTTCTTCGGTATAAATTCCACTCCGTAAAATCTCTAAGCAAAGATAGGAAAATCCAAATCCGACAACAAAAATTCTTTAAACAATCAGGCTTAGAGAAGAAGAAGAGAGAAATGGCGGCAATCACAGTCCACCAGTTCGCTCAGTGCATCACCTGCCACGCTTGGAGCCCAGAGCAATCTAGTAATTCTACTGCTATCTCCAATTTTTCTCTTACCTTATCAATTTTCTATACTGTTTGGTCGCTGAGAAAATGTGGGAAAATGAGACAAGGCAATCAGAAGTTAGGCTGTGGAATTTATTTATTTATTTATTGCCAATGATTTTGTGGTGTCTACTCTTGGAAAGAAGTAAAAAGCTCAAATTTTGGAGGGAATGGAATGGTGAAGTTTTGGGTTCAATTAATGTCTCTTTAATGGTGCTTCCTTCGTCTTCTTCTTCTTCTTCTTCTTTTTGTTTTTTTTGTTTTTTTTTGTATTTTTTTTGTTTGTTTTGTTTTTTAACAAAAGTTGGATTTCGATTTCTGTTCATCTTATTTAAGCTTTGATGTTTTGCTTAATCCAAATACGAGTACGAATTTCTGTTTGTGTTCACTTTTCTATACTCAATCTAGAGATAAAGTGATTTACTGAGTCATTGAACAAAATTATTTTTTCTTCTTTTTTTCTTTTGATTAGATACGTAATGTCGTCGGATAAACATTCTCTTGTATTTTGTAAATAATCATGCCTTTGTTATTTATTTTCTTTTAGCATTTAAAATTCAACCAAGTTCAATGGAGTAACATGCTTTTGGTATCTTTTGCAGTGATTGCTTTATGCCCGAACAATAATGAAGTTCATATCTATAGACTTTTGGAAGACAAATGGGAGAGATTGCATGTTCTCCAAAAGGTACTAGATTCATATTGATTAGAAGAGAAGATTGTTGAATTCTGATTGTCAAGAAAAGCTGTAGGATTCTGACCCCGTTGTAGTGTTCTCGTATACCTTGATACGGATTCAAGGGAAAGCAAAGCACGTTTATTATTGCGCTTTGCAATTTTGTGAAGTGGGATATTTTTTTATTATTATTTTTTATTTTTATCTCCAAGACCATTTGAAGTATTTGAATCAGTAAAGTCTGTGAAGGAGAGAGTTCGAAGCGTCAAGCGTGTCGTCAATAGAAAGCAGTTACCTGGAAATTCATCACTGTGTTTGAACTTTGGATTATAAATGCCTGCTAATTTATGTTCGTACTCTCAGGTTTTTTGCATGCATGCTTCCTACAGATACTCATGTCATGTATTCCTCAACTATTAGGACGTTAAAACCAGATTGTGACATAATGTTTACCTAATATGTTAGGGAATTGGATCCTCTTCTTCAATTCTATATTTCCCAGAAAGTTTTTCTTTAGTTTACTAAGGTGCCTTTTGGCTCATAGGTGCTTAAGTTTATTCTTTAATCTTTCTTCTTGAACATAGCATACAAACTTGGTGGAAAAGATTTTTTTTTTTTTTTTTTTTTTTTTTTTTTTTTTTGGTATGATTTGCAACTTTTTTACCATGAAGGAGAAAACCATGGCTTTCAGGGCATAGAAGATATCTGTTTTGGAATATGCTTTTATATATATACTTTTATTTCGTTGGGATAGTCATATCTTGCTTGCTTTTGGAAGAATGTTTCGTCCCTATTTTGATTGTTCGAATCTAATAGCATTTATCTATTTATTTATTTATTTTTGCATTGGACAAAATTTTGGTTATTAATTCTCATGCGTTATTTCTAGATAAATAATAATTTCTCAGGAAATTCATGTAATTCTTATTTTTGGTTAAGGGACTGCATAACTGATTTTAGTAGTTCTTCCTTTGAATTGTCACAGCATGATCAAATTGTTTCTGGAATAGACTGGAGTGCTAGGTCAAACAGAATCGTTACTGCGTCTCATGATCGGAATTCGTGAGTATCTCTGCAAGTCGAGATATTTGGGATGTAGACTATTTTCGGTTATAAATCTTGGAACTCATTTTCTTGAAATGTTGAATTTCTTTATTATTTCTCTCTTTTCTTGAAATTTAATCCCTCTCTCAAATCCACGTGTAGATATTATGTGCATGTTTGGAACTGTTTTTGAAAACGGTTTTCACGTATTTGAGAAGAAAAAATTGAAAATGAAAATGAAACGACGTTTGTTTAGCAAATGTTTTGAAAACGAAAACAGTGAGAATGGTTTTTTGTGAAGGAATTAGAAAATAGTTGAAAGTTGTTTTCACTTTTCTGTTTTTATTTTTTAGTACTTATCAACAATATTATAATATATTAATTAATAAATATGATTTCACTTTTTTATTATACTCAAAACAATCTCTTAAAAAACCAACCAAACACAATTTCAGAATCGGTTCCAGAATGATTCTCAAAATAATCTCATTTTTTCTTTTTATTAAAAACAAAATCATTTTGAAACCAATTCCAAACGCACCCATATATCTTTCTCATATTACTCATCAATGCGTTCCTTTGCTAGTTATGTTTGGAACCTAGAAGGACCAGAGTGGGTACCCACCCTTGTTATTCTTAGGCTAAATCGTGCCGCACTCTGTGTTAAGTGGAGTCCAAAAGGTATGAATTTTTCCTGACATTTTTATTAAATTTGATTCTTTTCGTCCTTTTATGTTGTACCTATGAGACCTAGTACTCATGAAGTTGTTCTAGAATACCGCATATTTCATTGTGAAAATATATGCACCTGTTGTTCAGTATCACGCAATTTTAACAAATGCACATTTTCCATGCCCCAGAAAACAAGTTTGCTGTTGGAAGTGGAGCTAAAACTGTTTGTATATGCTACTATGAGCAAGAGAACAATTGGTAACTCGTGTAGTACTTTTTTTTTGTTTTGTTTTTATTTATCCATTTATTTTAAATTTTTTGTGAATTGCTCGTGTAGTGCTCACACTTAAATAAACTACATTCTTTCATTTGGATTAGTTTTTTTTGTAGTGAATGATCAAGTTATTTTCATGATGTACCCTTTCTCAGGTGGGTCAGTAAACTTATCAGGAAAAGACACGAATCTTCTGTGACAAGTGTTGCTTGGCATCCAAATAATGTATCTTCCTGCTGTACCACTTCCCATTAATTTAAATTTAGTTGCTTGACAATGCTGCTTGTTACTGTTAGTTGCCAAACGATCTCACCTTTTTTTTTTCAACAAAATGAACTCACGATTTTCTTTCTTTACTGTTACTTTTGTGCTTAATTACAGATTCTTCTTGCTACAACATCAACAGATGGAAAATGTCGGGTTTTTTCCACTTTCATTAAAGGTGTTGATGCAAAGTATGTTTAATGTTATTCGCGAGCAATAGGCTTTTTCAGTTAAACTTTTTTCCCCTTTCTTCTTTAATGTTGTTCGTGCTATATCTTAATTGTGGTTTCTCAATTGAATTGTGTCAGGGATTCAAGAATAGGCCCTTCGGATTCAAAGTTTGGAGAGGTTCAATATATTTCCTTCAAGAAGTTGAAATAAGTTTTTATGGTTTTAATGCCATATTGTTTTTTGGGAATAGGGTGCATTTTTTTTATGGGCATATCTATCTTATTTATTTATTACTGGTTGAAGTTAGTTGACCTGATTTTCTTCTACCTATTGATTGAAACAGCAAATCATTCAGCTTGATCTCTCATTTTCTTGGGCCTTTGGCGTGAAATGGTCACCAAGTGGCAATACCTTAGCATATGTAGGTCAGAGAAATCTATCCTTTGCACCTTATTTATAATGAAAGATTTTCACCCGCATAGATTTACTATTTAAATTTTGAGCTCGGGCCACCCTGAGTATCCTCATTCCTCTACTATTAGATTAACCTTCATTTAGTAAAAGCTTTGATCAAAAGTTAATTATTTGTATCATAAAAATCTTTTCCTCTGGCTTTGGGCACATTTAAATTGAGATGTTCTGATAAGCCCCTACTCTGGCAAGTGTATGTTAGGAGGAATTAACAGGGTTAGGAAAGGCTGTCTTTAGCTTGCTATAGGCGTTGGAAGCTTGCTGGGAAGTGTTAGTATTAGTTAGTTAGCTTACTGAGTAAGTTTGTTTGTTAGAGGGAAAGTGTATAAAAGGGGGGGCAAGAGGGATAGACAGGCATCGGGAAATTAACAGGAAAACTTGTACAAATCTTGGATAGATTCCAAGTAAGGGGAGGAAGCAGACCCTCGAAGTTCTGCCGATTGGTGTGTACATTCCAACAATCAATAAAGTCTACCGTGATTCTTTTCTTCTTTCTTTCAATTCTTTTCTTGATTTTGTTCCAAACGACAGTCTTTATCATTTTGGTATCATAGCACTTTTCTGGGCGATAAGGCTGCCAGAAAAGCGGAGGAGAAATTTGAGGCGATGGAGAAGGAGATTCATCAAGTTAAGGCTTCGGTGGCAAAGGAATTTGGCAAGGTAAGGGCGGAAATGAGCCAAAGTAGAGCGGAAATCAACCATAATATGGCTAAAATGAGCCAGAATGTGTCGGATCTGCGCCGACTGATGGAGGAGCAGATGCGACTGCTTTCTGTGGCGGCGACTGCGAATCTGCCGGCGGAGGGATCACGTTTAGGAATCGCGAGGGTTAGGGAAGGCGAGATCGGAGTGGTCCAAGGACTAGCTCGTGAAGTTGCTGGACTGGTGGAGGAGGACGGTCGCAACTTGGGAGAAATGGCCGATCCTCGGGTTCTCGGGGAAAAGGAAAAGGGAAAACGACAGGAAGTGGACTGCACAGAGAAAACCAGATCGGAGAAGAGATCGTGCGAGTTAGGGTTCGAATTGCGAACGGAAATTGTTCCGATCTCAGTCAAGATGGCCGGAATGGCCGACCCAGGGGCGGCGAGACCGGCGATGGTGAACGCAACCTCCGCGATGGGCGGCGCGGTGATTTCCGAACGGGAGGAACTTCCGAGGATGTACGGGACTGTCGCAGTGGCCGAAATGGAGAAGGGGGAGGAGGAGTTCGTACAAGAAATGGAGGACCTAGACAGAGAGGGGATGGTCGTTTTGAGAGAGGTCATTTTGGTGGACATACGGGTAGAGAAGGAAGACGGTATTGGGAGGGTAATGAGCCTGAGGACTCTATGGATTTCATGGGGAAGTATGGGGAGCCGTGGGGAGGTGAGGACTTCTCACAGGTGAGGCGGAAACAATTGGACTACCCGCTATTCAGTGGCATTGATCCGGATGGTTGGCTGTTTAGAATGAGCCAGTTTTTCTCAATCAACAGGCTCTCGGAGAGGGAAAAATTAATGACTGCAGGAATTGCATTAGAGGGAGATGCACTATCATGGTTTCAGTGGCAGAATCAGCGGTGGCCTTTCATCACTTGGACTGATTTCAAGGTGGCTCTCCTGCAACGTTTTCGTTCTTCACAAGAGGGAAACCTGTGTGAACGATTTCTGGCGCTTAGGCAAACAGGTGTGGTGGTTGAATATCGCCGGAATTTTGAGGTATCGGCTGCCCCTTTACAAGAAGTTCTGGAGGAAATCCTTGAAGGCATTTTTGTGAATGGATTGAGGGCTGATATTCGGGCTGAACTGCACTTGCTCAAGCTAGAGAGGCTCTCCGAAATCATGGACATTGCGCAGCGAATTGAAGAGAAAAATCTGTTGTTGCGAAGGGAGATTGGGGGGTCTCGAGTTTGGCGTCCTCAAGTGGCGGGTCTCACATCGAATCCGCCAATGGGAACTCCAGCGAATCAGCCTCAAGGCAGCCCTAGTGTCGAGAGGCCGAAGAAGGATTTTCCATTCCGGAAATTATCCGACTCGGAGTGGCAGGAGAAGAGGAATAGGGGCCTATGTTTTCGATGTGATGAAAAGTTTACTGTTGGGCATCGCTGTAAGAAGAGGGAGTTGCGGATTATGTTAGTAAGCGATGAGGATGAATTTGAAAACGAGGAAATTGAGTTGGATGAGGCAAAGGAGGAGCCCGGGGAATTGCTACAAACGGAGGTGATCGAGTTGTCCTTGAACTCCGTAGTGGGGTTGACGACACCAAAAACCATGAAGATAAAGGGGGAGATTGGTCATCGTGAGGTAATTGTTTTAATCAATTCCAGGGCTACACAACTTTATTTCTCTTACTCTAGTGTCGGAATTAAAATTGTCCATAACTCCTACAAGGGCTTTTGGTGTCCAAACGGGCACAGGGGAGTCGGTACAAGGGCAGGGATTGTGTAAAGAAGTGGTGTTGAGCATGCAAGACTTGACCATAATTGAGAATTTCTTGCCACTGGAATTGGGTGGAATAGATGTGATTCTAGGAATGCAATGGCTTGAGACTTTGGAGAGTATGAATGTCAATTGGAAGACTCAAGTTATGAGATTCAAGGTGCACGGGGAGAATGTGATGTTGAAGGGGGACGCTAGTCTTACAAGGTCATTGATTTCCCTCAAGGCCATGATGCGTACCATTCGTCATGAAGGGCAGGGCATTTACTTGGAAATGAGTCAATTGGGTCTTAACATGCCAGTCGGTTTACCTCCTCACAGAGTGAAGGACCACCACATAATTCTTGAGGATGGCACCGGTCCGATTAGTGTCCGACCATACCGATACCCCCATTTTCAAAAAAATGAAATCGAGAAGCTAGTAAGGAAAATGTTGGCGGCTGGAATTATACAGCCGAGTACGAGCCCTTTCTCCAGCCCGGTTTTGCTCGTCAAGAAGAAGGATGGCAGTTGGAGATTTTGCATTGACTATAGGGCGCTAAACAAAGCCACGGTTCCAGATAAATTCCCAATTCCGGTGATAGAAGAGTTGTTAGATGAGTTGTGCGGAGCCACCATCTTCACCAAATTAGATTTGAAATCAGGATATCACCAAATTCGCATGTGTGACGACGACGTCCCTAAGACCGCTTTTCACACTCCTGAGGGACACTATGAGTTCCTCGTTATGCCTTTCGGATTGACCAACGCCGGCTACATTTCAGTCTTTGATGAATGAAGTATTGAAGCCGTTCTTATGCCGCTTTGTGTTGGTTTTCTTTGATGACATCTTGATTTACAGCTGTTCTTGGGAGGACCATTTGGAGCACTTGGATAGGGTCCTTTCGGTTTTGCAGGCCAACCAATTGTACGTCAATAAAAAAAAATGTCTCTTCGCACAGGAGCAATTGGAATATGTGGGTCATGTGGTCTCTAGGAATGGAGTTTCCGCGGATTCCAGCAAGATACAGGCTATGTTGGATTGGCCTACTCCGCGGTCCATCAAGGAGTTGCGGGGGTTCTTGGGCCTCACAGGTTATTACTGCCGTTTCGTGGAGGGGTATGGACGCATTGCGTGGCCATTGACGCAACAACTTAAGAAGGACGCCTTTCACTAGAATTCTAAGGCTGAGGATGCTTTTCAGCACTTAAAAAGGGCTATGACTGAGATTCCAGTGTTGGCCTTGCCAGATTTTTCTCGACCTTTTGTGGTGGAATCTGACGCTTCGGGGTTTGGTCTAGGAGCGGACAGCATCGCCCCATCGCTTACTTGAGCCAAGTCCTTTCGGCGCGCGCTCGCGCCAAATTAGTCTATGAGCGAGAACTAATGGCCATTGTGTTAGCCATTCAGAAATGGCGTCCTTACTTGTTAGGAAGACGCTTTGTGGTGCGTACCGATCAGAAAAGTTTGAAGTTCTTATTGGAACAGCGCTTGGTAAGTGTGGAGCATTAGAGATGGTTATGTAAATTGCTTGGCTATGATTTCGAGATTCAATACAAACCGGGTCCGGAAAATAGGGTGGCTGATGCCCTATCGAGACAACAAATGGGGCTTGCTTTAATGGTCATGACAACTCCAATGGTGCTCGATATTGAGGAGTTGCAGCGGCAGGTTAAGGCAGATCCGGGGCTCAGTAAAACCATGGAGGAGTTGTTGGCTGGCTCTCTTTCTTTGGCGGGGTTTTCTCTTCAAAGGGGGCATTTATTATACAAGGGCAGGTTGGTCATTCCTCCGAAATCTCCTCTTATTCCAACCCTGTTACGTGAGTTTCATAGTAGTAAGATAGGAGGGCATTCGGGGGCCTTTAAGACTTACAAGCGATTGGCAATGGAGTTATACTGGAGGGGTATGCGCAAGGATGTCGAGTCTTTTGTGGCTGCTTGTGCCGTCTGTCAGCAACATAAGTCGTCGACATTATCGCCGGTTGGGTTGTTGCAGCCCTTGCCTATACCCAATCGGGTTTGGGATGATATTTCCATGGACTTTATTGAGGGATTTACCTAAATCTGCGGGCTATAATTCAATCTTGGTTGTCGTTGACCGCCTCAGTAAGTATGGTCACTTCATTGGCCTTAAACACCCGTTCTCGGCCAACACCGTGGCTGCTTCATTTGTCCGAGACATAGTGCGCCTACATGGATTTCCACGGAGTATAATCTCTGATCGAGACAAGGTTTTTATGAGCCATTTTTGGAAGGAACTTTTCCGGTTGTAGGGTACTACTTTGTGCCGGAGTACGGCGTACCATCCACAGATGGATGGACAAACGGAGGTCGTCAACCGCTGTTTGGAGGCCTACTTCCGTTGTTTTGTCTCTGGCCAACCCAGGCAGTGGTTTACACATCTTTTGTGGGCCGAATATTGGTACAATACGAGCTTTCATGTTTCGGCTGCCATGGCGCCTTTCAAAGCTCTCTATGGACGGGATCCTCCGCAGTTGGTGCCTTATGAGGCCGGTTCTACGGCTACCTTGGAGTTGGAGCGGCAACTATGCGATCGAGATGCGCTGTTGGCGAAATTGAAGGATCATCTGGGTCGCGCTCAACAGTCTATGCGAGACCATGCCAACAAGAAGCGCCGTTCTGTGACATTTGAGGTGGGTGACATGGTTTATTTGAAGCTCCAACCATATCGTCATCGAGCGTTGGCGCGTGTGGTAAATGAAAAGCTTGCTCCTCACTATTATGGGCCGTTTCCGATCCTCGCTCGAGTTGGTCCAGTGGCGTATCGGCTGCAACTTCCTTCTCACGCTCGGATTCACCCGGTCTTTCATGTATCCCGCTTGAAGAAGGCACTGGGTCCTGTGGATATTCCTCAATCTTTACCTCCAATCTTGTTGGAAGATTTGACGTTGCAGGTGGAACCCGCTCAGGTCCTGGATACACGTTTTCCGCCTGCCACAGGTTCCTTGGAGGTTTTGATTACATGGCGCCACCTTCCTGACTTTGAATCTTCATGGGAGCTGTTTGAGGTGATTCAGCGCCAGTTTCCTGCCTTCCACCTTGAGGACAAGGTGACTTTTTTGAGGGGGGGTGTAATTGATAAGCCCCTACTCAGGCAAGTGTATGTTAGGAGGAATAAACAGGGTTAGGAAAGGCTGTCTTTAGCTTGCTATAGGCGTTGGAAGCTTGCTGGGAAGTGTTAGTATTAGTTAGTTAGTTTACTGAGTAAGTTTGTTTGTTAGAGGGAAAGTGTATAAAAGGGGGGGCAAGAGGGATAGACATGCATTGGGAAATTAACAGGAAAACTTGTACAAATCTTGGATAGATTCCAAGTAAGGGGAGGCAGCAGACCCTCGAAGTTCTGCCGATTGGTGTGTACATTCCAACAATCAATAAAGTCTACCGTGATTCTTTTCTTCTTTCTTTCAATTCTTTTCTTGATTTTGTTCCAAATGACAGTCTTTATCATGTTCTAATACAGGAAAAGTAAGTTTCTTCATGTAATTGTTAAGATCAATAACTTATTTGATTTGATAGTTTTTTCAGATTCTCTGTCACACTGGCTATTTGACTCAGTGTCCGAGGAAGATATGAACTTTGAAGAGGATAAGAGTTTACCATCCTCTTATTAGGAGTTGATTGTAGATAATTTCCAGCTTACATGTCTTGTGATATTGTGCAGCCCACAACTCGATGATTTACTTTGTTGATGATGTTGGACCATCTCCTTTGGCACAAAATGTTGCATTCCGTGATTTGCCTCTCCGTGATGTGGGTCAGCATCCACTCTTGCTAACATTTTAGACTAAGAATCTTCTCCACATTTTCCACTGACTTGCTATTATCTGCATACGGTTGGCCAACATGTTTTTCAGGTTATATTTGTTTCTGCAAGACTGGTGATAGGTGTTGGATTCGACTGCAACCCAATGGTTTTTGCAGCAGACCAACAAGGAATTTGGTGAGTAAAAGTTATTATCTGCTTTTTCAGCGTTTCATGAGAATAAGTAAATATATGGTCGCTCCATTCTTCTGAAGTGGTTCCTTGTCCTTTTCTCCCTAGGAGTTTCATCAGATTCTTAGGTGAAAGGAAAACGTCTTCAGGTCCGAAATATGGTTCACAGGTAAATATGTGGGTATTTAAATTTTTATGTTTGCTTGTCTGCTATTGTGCCTTTATACCTAAAAGTAGACAAGCGCGCTGCTTGTAGATACTCATGATAATCCTGTTTCTGATTCGTGCTAGGATTACCATTCAGTTTCCTAAAAGTTCAAAGTAAAATCTTCTAAGCAGGCAGGCTTGGTCGAGGACTAGAACCAATGTAATAGGTTTATGGGCCAAGCCTCATGGCCTAAAATATAGATTGAAGGTTTAAAAAAATATGGGATACAAACTTTCATTACCTTTGATGCCTACCGCTACCATATTGCAAAGTGTGATCTTTAGCTTTTCGTTTTAATATTTATTTTCTGACGTGTTATCTGCTTGTGTTAGGCCTCCCCTCTTTAATTTCTCTCTTTCCTTGTAGTTTTCTGAAGCATTTGGGAAGCTCTATGGACAACCTAAGCAGGGCGTGAACAATGATGGAGTTGAACATTCAAGATCACGTGGTGACATTCATGAGAATTGCATAAAGTATGCAAATAATTCGAAAACTAATTTAAGCTTCCATTACCATTACCGTTTACCATGAGAACTCATGCAATTTGTGTGTTGTTAGGTTGATATTTATCCATGTTAAACTATGATAAAACCAAATGAATGTCCGTTTTCTGGTTACTGCAGTTGTATTGTTTCTCTTGGACAGCCAGGGATATCTACAGGCAAGCGCTTTAGCACTTCAGGTTAGTTAGGAAAAAAAAGAAAAGAAAAACCCGAATCCATATCCCCATTCTTTGTCCAAATTACTCGGTTTTTTTTTTTTTTTTTTTTTTTTTTTTTTTTAATTTTTTTTTTTTAATTAAACATCACAGGATTGGATGGTAAAGTTGTTATCTGGGATTTGGAAGACCAAGCAGATCTGTTTGAATATTTGTGAACCCTCATCGTGAAGAACGTCGCGCGGCGCCGGTAAGAAAGAGGATTTCTATATTGGTCTTGACTGGTGAGCAGCTCACAATCAGTGGTAATTTTTTACGAAAGCCTTCCATACGAGTCCTAATGATTTTAGCTTTGTACTTCCTATATACGACGTTGGATGTAACATGTGTGCCCTTTTGCAAATTCTGGCCGAATCGTAACATTTTAAAAGAAAACAACTCCCTCTGTCATTTCATGTTAATAAGAAGTTTTTAGTTTGCTTCCTTTTATCGTATGTAAACACCTTTTTTGTTTTAAATAATTATAAATGCCTTTTAATGTGATATTTGCAAATTGACGAAGAAAATATCATTGGAGCAGCGCGTGACTTTGTCCCTCAAGGCAGTGGGATTGCTGACTTGTTGGCTAAGCTAGCAGTGTCCTATATTAGGGACAGATAATATAACCGTTATATATTGCTTAGTAAAATTCATATTTCCATTCAATTAAAATAAATAAATAAACTAGACTACATACCTGTACCTTTTGTGGCTTTTATATTTACAGGTCACCCGGGATCGGAAAGGATCATCTTTTTTATTTCTTTCATTAATTCTGTTCATGGCACAAAAGAACAAAGGAACGGAATTCAAAAGTTGCCTTCGGTTGCATTGATTTATTAGACCACTTGTGGCATGAAAGGAAGAGAAACAGGAAAAATCAAATTTACAAAAAACTTTACATGATTGAAGTAAAAGGATATTAAAAAAAAAAAAAAAAAAAAAAAAAAACCTGATGATAATCGTTTAGTTAACAAATATCAATATAAGACTACGCAAGTCCTCTTGTTATGAGTGCCGTTAATCCTTCGAGGTAACATAACAATTTCTTTTTTCATTTTCATTTTCATTTTTACAATAAGACTTTAAAATCTACAAATGGTTAAAAAATTAGTAGTGGGTGTAAATTAAAAATTGCTATTGAGTAATCCACTAATGGACATTTAGTTAACGATTAAAGTTAAATCAATAATTGATATGAGTTAATTATTAATTCGCTAACTCGATCGCTCATTGGCAGTCAAGTCAAAAAGAACACATTGGAGGTTTAAAAAAAGATTATTGTTTGTATGTACCACTTAGGTCTCGTTCACTTCGTAAATTCGAGTTTTCAATTCGAGCTAAGATGTGATATTTTCTGAGAGCTTTTCACTATAGCAGAAAAAGTTAGATGTGACATTTTTTGAGAGCTTTTTACTATAGAAACCTAAAACTAAAAACTCGAATCGGTGAAATGAACGAGGCCTTAGTCTTTAGGGCCCTTATCATTTTACCATTTTGTCTTATAAAGTTTAAAAAAATTCATTTGACCCCATAAATTTTAAATTAATCTTATTTAGTGCGTTCTGTTAAAATTTCAATTGAAAACTGCTACAACAGAAAAGAAGAATTACTTACGGTGTGTTTGGTAGGAGGGAGAGAGAGATGGAGGAAGTGAGAGGGGTGGAGAGAGAGGGTGAATCTCTTGTTTGATAAGAACGAGAAGAAGAGGGGAGAGGAGAGATGGAGGGAGAGACTCTCTCTTAAGACCCACAATTTTAAATCCTTTCATTGACGTAAGGATCAAACTAATCCACAAAAAATTAAAAGAAAATGACTTTTTTACGCTTCAAAAGTAATTATTAATAAATAATAAAATGAACAATATAGTAATTAAACAAAAAACTTCATTTATCCTTTCAACTCTTTATTCCTCCTATCAAACAACATAAATGATTACTATAATAATCTTTCACATTCTCTATTTCTTCAGCACTCTTAATTCTTCCTCATCTTTATCCCTCCTACTAAACGAAGCCTTAATCCTTTATGTTATAGTTCATGTTGAAAATAAATAAAGAAGGATTTTTTGTATGTTTTTAAAATAGGGGATTGATTCAGATTAAATAAAAATTTAGGAGATAATGTGAGCGTTTTTAAAATTTAAAGAATAAAATTTAAGAATAATTGTTTTGCTCTTTTGCTTTTGCTTTTTTTGCTTTTTTTTTTTTTTGGTCTTGTTTTGTTTTGCATTTCTTTTTGCTAATTAAAGAATAAGTTTTTGTTTTTATTTTTATTTTTATGTTTTGGGATTTTTTATTTTATTTTATTTTTAGACTTGACAGGAAGAGAAACCTTGGCCAAACCCCTTTGCTTTTTGCTTCCTCAGTGAACTGCAACAACTGAGGAAAAGCCATAAACTCCCTCCCTTATCCATATCGTCTTGTCCAATATCCTTGGAACTCGTCTGTTTGCAATCTCAACTCTCAAACTTCCCATCTTCCATTCTGTACTCACTCTTCTCCTTATGTAGAAAAACACCATCAATCAATCATCAAAATCATCAAAAAAATGCTAAGCACAATGTCAATGATTCACCAACCCCCTCGCTCCATCTCGCACTTCCCCTCCTCCAAGTCCACCACCGCTTTCCTCCTCAAAAACCTCTCTTCCTCATCCTCCTCACAGCCCGTCACCGACCAATCCGAATCCACCCCACCCTCCTCCCAAATCCTCACAGCCCGTCACTCTCTCATCTCCCGCCACCTCTCCGCCGTCCAGCTCGCCGAGTCCTTCCTCTCCCGCCTACGCCGCGCCGAGCCCCATTTGCGCTCCTTCCTCCACGTCTCCCCCGACGAAGACGTCCTCCGCCAGGCCCGCCGCCTCGACGAGATCCTCCAGAGGAATGAGGATGTGGGCCCCCTCGCCGGAGTTATCGTCGCCGTTAAGGACAACATCTGTACCTCCGACATGCCCTCCACCGCTGGGTCCCGCGTCCTCGAGGGATACCGCCCGCCGTTCGATGCCACGGCCGTCAGGAGGATCAGGGAGATGGGCGGGATTGTGGTGGGGAAGACCAATTTAGATGAGTTCGGCATGGGCAGCACCACTGAATCCTCTGCTTTTCAGGTTTTTTTTTCCTTGTTAATAAGATTCTGCTTTCTGGGTTGTGTCGAATTCACTTCGTTGTTCTTGGTATTGATTTTTGTTGAAAATGCTTATATTGTAATTAAAATAAAGAAAATTAAAACGCTAAATGATGGATGGGAATGAAATGTTGCTTTGTGGGTTGTGTCATGTGTGGTGTGGAGTTTTGTTGTTCTCGGTATTGATTTTGCTTGAAAATGCTTATTGTAATTTTGGAATTAAAAATCAAAGGGACAAACAATGGGAATGAAATGTTGAATTGGAGAATTCTGCCAGGTATATAAAAATGGCTAGAAGGCGCAGAACTTTGTTCTGGTCGTACCGTGCAAGCATAGGTGATGGAAAAATCAATTTGGGTCGTTAAAATTGGAGCTGCTTTTACTAGGTGGGATCGGACCACAAAGAATTCAACAGTTTGTATCTTTATGGATCATCATTTACCACCTGAAAAAGCATTGCACGGTACGACCAGACTTGACTGGCCTTGCAGTAGGAAAAAAGTACTCTTTTAGTAATGAATATTTCTGAACCATCGTATTTGCATACCTTTTGGTCTCATCAAATTTGTGTACTATTAATTTTTGATCTTCTGTAATGATCATATAACACAAAGTACTTGTAGGTGTTCCTTGTCACACAAACCTTGAAACAAAGTTAAGATTAGTGAGTAGAAAAGTCTTATTAGATTGGATGTTGCAAGAGTGGGGGTATCGGAGTTTGTCTCCTTATGTTGGTCAGTAGTGACTAGGGTTCGTTTACTCTGGTGTGGTGCATCTGTTCTTCATTCATTAGGTGACTGCAAATCCGTGGGACGTGTCTCGGGTGCCCGGGGGATCGTCTGGGGGCTCTGCCGCAGCTGTTTCTGCGAGGCAGTGCATGGTGTCTCTGGGGAGCGATACCGGTGGAAGTGTGCGGCAGCCAGCGTCGTTCTGTGGTGTTGTTGGATTGAAGCCCACATATGGACGTGTCTCCAGATTTGGACTGATGGCATATGCATCATCACTTGATGTCATTGGCTGCTTCAGTTCCTCTGTTTTTGATGCTGGGATTCTTCTTCAAGCTATTTCTGGTCACGACACGTCTGATGCCACTAGTAGTAAGCAGGTATTGTCGGATCTTATTTGTATGTTGATTATGAAAATTCACCCTGCGTTGATCTATATCTTACGAGTTATGACCCATGCGCCAAATCATATTGTCATCAAAGAAGTTTAGACTGATTGAATAGTAGGCAAAAAATATTTTCCTTGTGACTTTAAACTTCATACTAATACGGCATTTGCATTTTGTTCAATGTTCCCACCTTATTTTGTAAGGCTATTGCAATATAGTTGTATGTTCTGCTTTAATCTTGTCAAGGTTTTTTCAGGTTGTTCCTGACTTCACATCTCAATTTACTTCCATAAGTTTGTCGGAATCTAAACCTTTGAAGGGGCTCAAGGTTGGCCTTATCAGTGAAACTCTCGAGGACGGTGTTGACACTGGAGTAGCATCCACAATACGTGCTGCTGCTTCACATCTTGAAGAATTAGGATGTTCTGTGTCAGAGGTCTACCTTTTGTTCTAATACTTTCCCCTTAAAAGCTTTTCACTGAATGCTTATAACCTCTGTCTGCTTTAATATTGGAATTGACATCTCCTTAAATATTGACAGGTTTCATTACCATCTTTCTCCCTTGGGTTGCCGGCCTACTATATTCTCGCTTCCTCTGAATCATCTTCTAACTTATCGCGTTATGATGGTGTTAGGTGATTTCTCATGTATTAATTTCTAGAGTTTTGAGTTTGAAAAGATTTAAGTTTCCATATAATCCATGGATCTCAGTTGTTCATTTTGAAGTTAAAAGCTATCTATCTTACTGAAAAGGAACTAGTGAAGAAGGAAAAGAAAACGAGTTTAGTTGAATGGTATAGCATTATAAAGCTCTTTTGCATCTACGTTGAGAATGGAGCAAACAATATGGGCAAACATTGTTCCAAAAGTCTGTTTTGTACTAAATCTGAATTCGGGTTGTCTTGTAATACGAAGCAAAACATATATAGTTTTAGTTCTTATTTTTTTCTTTTCGAATATCAATATCCAGGTATGGAAACCAAGCTCCTGCTGATGAGCTAAATGCTCTATATGGGGATTCCCGAGCAAAGGGATTTGGTCACGAGGTACAAAATAACTTGGCTAGCCAGAAACTCTATGCCATATATTCTGGTTCTGAATGTTCTGTGAATGGAAACACTGGCGGTGTTTTATGTCTGCTTTTTATTCAAACTTTAAAAGGAAGTTTAATGTTTTCAAGAAAAAAAAAAAAAGAAAAAAGGGGAAGTTTAAGAGTGAAAGTTTTCCGTTAGTAGCATGATTTTAACCTTTGAATTTAACATGCAGGTCAAAATGAGGATATTAATGGGGACATATGCTCTATCAGCCGGTTATTATGATGCGTATTACAAGCGTGCCCAGCAGGTAGCATGATCACTTGGTGAAGTATCACCGTTTTCACGATGTAATGTATGTATTCACTTGGTAAAGAGACGATTTTATGGCAGGAAATGGTCCTGCTTTCGGTGCTTTACTATTCTAACACCGCAATACTAGATTTAAATTCAGTGGCTTTTAACTAGAAATTTTTTTTTTTTTAGTATTGCCTACTCCTGTTCTTGCTGTCTGGTCATTCTGTTGTTAGGGCAATTTTTATTGGTGCTACTGTTGTTTTAATGCAGATAAACGAGAAAAAGTGTATATATAACTTCATTCTTGATTACTTCTGATGTTTTTGATTCACGATTTTCTGGAGATCTTTAGTATTTCAAGGGAAAGTTGATGATTGGATTAGTGTTTCAGGTGAGGACCATAGTACGGAAAGGCTTTAAGGCCGCTCTTGATGTATATGATATCTTAATTTCACCTGCTGCTCCATCTGCTGCTTATAGGATTGGTATGCTGCTTAAACGGTTTGCAGTTGCAAAACTGTATATTTCCTTTCCATTTGTCCACCAAAATCAGTCACCCATTTGCTTATTTTGTTTATAGGCGAAAAGAAAAACGACCCATTGGCAATGTATGCAGGTGACATAATGACTGTAAGCATTTTTCTAATAATTATTTAATTATAGTTCAAGCACTGTTTTGTCTCTTTGTCCTGGAGATAAAATAAAAAATAAATATATTTACGAACATAAGCATGTATTCTTTTCTTGTAACTGTATTTGTTTGTTAACTATATTTTCATGTTCATTGTAAACATGTTGGTAAGTGAACCTCAAAAAATACCCAGTCGGCTTTTTCTTGAAATGTTGAAGCTACAGTTCATTGGGTTGTAAATGCTGAAAGTTTCCAAAATAACAGTGATGAGACTTGTTCATTTGTGAATTGGTTGATTTCATAGGATCTTGTTACATTCCAAAACGTCCCACATGGAATAGTTATAAGATAAGTTGCGCATTTTAAGAGAATTAGGTCCCTCTGATCCCAATGATTGGCCTTGCGTGGTTTTGCTTTCTCCTCACTTGAAGTCCTACCTACTTGTTCCACATGTAATGTACCTTACAAAAAGGGACCATGACAGAGCCATAACTAAAGTTTTTCTTTTTCGCTTCTTTTCTTGTTTATTATTCTTTTTAATTTTTTTTTCTTTTTCATTCTCATTTGACTTTACTGTATCTGTTACGCAGGTGAACGTAAACTTAGCAGGATTACCCGCATTAGTTTTGCCCTGTGGATTTGTTGAAGGGGGATCTGCAGGCCTTCCCGTTGGTCTTCAAATGATTGGTGCAGCATTTGATGAGGTATTTGCTTTTAATTTTACGCACTTGATGCTTGCTTCTAGCACATTTTTATTAGAATCAGTACCGGTCAGTCCGATACCCAATGTTCATTTTTGGCTTCCTGTTATCCCATTGATAAGATTGTCTATCACTTATTTTCTTCCAAGCACGGGTAAAAAAAAAAAAAAAAGTTTTCTGGAAGGCTTACTCGTACTAAATTCTTATATATATATATATATATATATATATATATATATATATATATATTTTTTTTTTTTCACTGTCACTCACAGCTTGTTACTTTTTTGTGTGTAGCATAGCATTGCTTGTAATTTATGACCCTCTGATTCGTTACGAGGCAATTTTATCAATAATGAGAACATTTTTTTTTCAGAATGAATAATGAGAACATTTTTGCCAAGTCCCTTTTCTTTTTGGAACCATTATAATTTTGAAATGAATTTATTTTAGAGCCAGGTCCAGTATCAGGAAGACCTCTAAGAGGTTGAATATTGACATGTTACTAGTGCTCAAGTTTTTCTTCTCGAAGGAGATTTTATATTTTTGTTTCACTTAGCTGCATACTTATTCAGCCATGTTTAAAGCCTCACTTGTGTGTTGAGCAAAAAAATAAAAATAAAAATAAAAAAAGAAAGAAAGAAAAAAGAAAAAGAAATAGCTCTATTTATGATCAATAATAAATTCATCAAGTTCCCGTTTATTTCGCTAATTTGAGTTTAGAATTTGAGTTTTGTTATAGTAAAAAGTTCTCACAAATGGTTACATTTAATTTTTTTGTTACAGTTAAAAGTTCTTACATAAAATCACATCTCAATTCAAATTAAAAATTTGAATTAACAAACTAAACGGTCTTTAAACTTTTGTAACTTTTTAGTTTCACGTCATTTTAATTTTAGATATTATGAATTAAAAATTTTCCCTTTCTGATAAGTGATCTTTTATACTCTACAACATATCTTTTTTTTTTCTTCAAAATATCTTTTTTGTTTAAAAAAAAAAAAAGAGACGAAGAAAAAGTATAAGTTCTGTCAAGGTGGTTGCATGGCTTTGATAAATGGCCCAAAAGTTGTCAGTTAATTTACCATGGGAAAATTTTAAAGTTAAAAAGAGCATTTTTAATGTAATATTATAATTGATATAGTAATTATAAATTTAATATTTGAGTGGAAAAAAAAAATTTTTTTTTTTAATATATATAACATATGAAAAATTTTATGTTTGATTGTTATTAGTTAAAATGTTTACTTTTTCATGTGATTATTGTAATTTTTATATTTTTTTAATTATTTTAAATATAAAGGTTTATTTTTACAACTTTCAAAGTTTAATAATTATAAAAAAAAGTAGATTTAACATTTCATATAGCATTATGCATTGGAGTAAAAATGAAAATAACATATCATATCACACTTTTTTATGATAAATATACCGTTGGCATTAGCATTTGCATTGGAGATAGTGTTAAATTTGACAAGCAATCTATCAGATTACATCAAAAGTCAAATACTATGCCCTCGTTTGGTTCGCTGGTTTGAATTTTATTTATTTGAACTTTTTTATTGAACAGAAAAATTTAAACTGTGGGATTTAATTTGTTGTTTGAATTGGTGTTTGGATGTGCAGTTAAAATTTTAATCTGAACTAGGAATAAAATTTGAATTTATGTTTGGTAGGTGTGAAAAGCAGAGAGAGTGACACTTTTTTACTGTTCAAAATTAGTTTGAGTAGTTGAACTTTAGGGAAGAGTTAAAGTTGTACTGTTTAACTAAGTTCAAACGGAGAATATAATTTAAACTAAGTGCTTACTAAATACAAATTTAATATGTGCTCACTATTTAAACTGAATTAAACTAGTGAAACAAAGCGGACTATATAAATCTAACATAATCTATTAGAAAACATTAAAAAAAAAACTAATATGATACCGGTTATTAAAATTATAGGTTAAGTCTCGAGTTGAGTACCAATTAGAGAGACATCTATAATGGTTATTTAATTTGTGGTAGGCCCCGTTCACTTCACCAATTCGAGTTTAGAATTCGAGTTTTGTTACAGTAAAAAGCTCTCATAAACAATCACATCTAACTTTTTTACTACAGTAAAAAGTTCTCACATAAAATCACATCTCAACTCGAATTACAAACTCGAATCAGCGAAGTGAACGGACCCTTAGTTTATTTACATGGGCGCAACGTGTTGTAAAACAATAGGTCGTGACAGCCTGGTTCTTAGTGACCGAGTAACAGCTGCAGATGCTGTCAAGATTGTTGCAGGTGAGAAATGTGTATCATATTCGGTCAAGGGGCAATATTGTAAAATGTCATGTGTTTAAAACTACAACAAAGTAGAATGTGCGTTCTTTTCAATAGTTTGAAATTCAAGATTAGAGTTAAAAAAGTGAGTTTAATTGGAATTGAGTTTCAAATTTGAGTTGTGTGTTCACTTAGTTAGTTTGTGAATGTTAAACTTGAGTTTTGTGTTCACCTTTGAAAAAAACATAACTCCAATTTTAGCAAGTTTTGACATGGATTTTTTTAAAGAGAGAAACCATAAACACATACATTCATATATAATAATAAAAACGTCCATAAGTTTAGCATTACAAACTCATATTAATCGTTGAAATTACGAAACAAATATATGTAACTACCGATTGCGATATGCTTCTAATGCCCCCCACATGCTAGCAGCCATCTCATCCCTCAAAATATTCATTTCCCTACGATTTGCGGAGTTGTGATTTTGTTCCATTGCCCGATTAGGATTGTGATTCTGATTAACATCTTGATCCGCATTCTCCAGATCAATATCAACAACTGGTACTCCGTCTCGTGTGTACTGGTTTAGTAGCTCGTCGTTATGGTTGTACATATGTATGAAATTGTGAAGCACGGCACAAGCAACAGGAATTTGTATCTGTTTCTCTATTGGGTAATTATTTATGCACTTTAGTATGCGGAACCGTGCTTTCCAAACACCGAAAGTGCGCTCAATAGAATTTCTTAGGGACGAATGCGTATAATTAAACAACTCACGCTGAGTTCGAGGACGGCCACGTCTTGCCCTATACTCTTGAAGGTGATATGTGCTCCCCCGGTACGGCGCCAAGAAACAATTGGTATTCGCGTAGGCAGAGTCTACAAGGTAGTATTTCCCTATATTAACCATTACAAATCAATAATTAAGTTCTGACAACCAACCGACAATACTTATTCTATATTGAATGTATAGCAAGGATTGTTGTTCGCATACCTGGCGGTGGATTTGGGAAATTTTTATCTCTTGTACTTGTTGCATCCGCAAGAACGCGCGCATCATGGGCAGAGCCCTCCCATCCAGCTAAGATGTAAGTAAACTTCAAGTCAAATGAACATACCCCTAACACATTTTGGGAGTAAAAACCCTTCCTATTCCG